TCCTGTGGGCCCTGCCCCAGAGCAGACGGGGTCCTACCTGGAAGGCCAGGAGGGAAGGGGTACCAGGAAGCCAAATGGGTGAAACCCTTCCTGCTGTAGGCCCAGCCCCCTGGGTGGGTGGGTGGGGAGAAACCTGGCTTTCAAATGAGTGTCCAAAGAGGTGTCACATGGCCTTAGAGCCTCTCAGAAGGTGCAAAAGGGAGTGGCCTCCACCTTGGGCACCTTTCCTGCCTCCAAAGAAGACTCTCTGGGGAGTGACAGAGGGAGGGACTGGAGAAGCAGTGTCAGCCCTGGAGGAGGTCCAAGGGCTCTGGCTAAGGATCAGGAAGCCACGGTGGAGGATAATGACCTAATGGCCTAGCCCCATGTGGCTGGATTTGGGGTTTCCCAGAAACAGATTCTCTAAACTCTCTTTGGGGAATGCAAGGTGAATTTTAAGCCCCACCTACTGGCGACTCCTGGCTCCCCACTATCCAGCTTTTCTGGGTGAAGAGAGGGTCGTTGAAGGCTGAGGACCAAGGCCATCCAGGCTGGCAGGTCAGGGTGAGCCTGAAGGCTGATGACTGCGGGGTTTGAAGTGAATGGACCAGGACAGGCTGGAGGGCTTATATTTATCCCTTCCATGTGTTGAACAAACATCTCTGCTTCCCATCTCACATGAGAGTACCATCCTTCTGGGGTGGGGGAAGGCAGAAACAAAGAAATGTAGTATGTCAGGTGTGAATAAAAGATAGGGTAAGGAGAATGGGGGTGTGGGTGGGCTAGGTTGTCTTTTAAAAAAGAGTGCTCTGGGAAGGTGAGCACAATTCTTAAGAAGATGAAGAAGCAAGTCGTATAGTTATCTAGGGATAGAAGTTGCAGCAGAGGGATCAGCCAGTGCAAAGGCCCTGAGGCAGGACTGTGCTTGGTGTGTTCAGGAAATAGAAATGGGGAGCAGCATGGCTGGAGCAAGGGAGTAATTGGGAGAGTGGGAGGAGCGGGTCAGGCAAAGTGGGAGGCAGCTCACCAGGTAGAGTCTTGTGGATAAATCAGAGAACTTCAGCTTTTACTATGGTAGAGATGGGAAGATACTGGAAGGTTTGGTACAGGGGTGATGCTATCTGAGGCAGGTTTTGGCAGGATCACTTGTCCTGTTGCTGTGGGAAAGGACTGTGAGGTGATATGGTGGGCATACTCCAGGTGGTCCCTGTGGTATCTGCCCCTCAGGTACGTGCCCTGAGGGATCCTCTCCCTTTTATCCTTTTATATGGGACATGTGACTTGCTTTTTTTGTTTGTTTGTTTTGTTTTGAGTGTTGCCCTGGCTAGAGTGCAGTGGTATTATCATAGCTCACTGCAACCTCCAATTCCTGGACTCCAGTGATCCTCCTGCCTCAGCCTCCCAAGTAGTTGGGACTACAGGTAGGCACCACCATGGCCAGCTAAGTTTTCTATATTTTGTAGATATGGGATCTCACTCAGGCTAGGGTTGAACTCCTGGCCTCAAGTGACCCTCCTGCCTGGGGCTCCCAAAATGTTAGGATTACAAGCCTGAGCCACTGTGCCCGGCCTGTGACTTGCTTTTTTACCCAACATGTGGCACAGGTGATGCATGCCACTTTTGTGATTCCAGCACACAAGATTGTAATGCCCATCCTGTGAGAAGACTCTTTTCTTTGATGGCTTTGATGAAGTCAGTGGCATGTTGGGGGCCCATGTAGCAAGGAAGTGAGGATGGCCTCTAACCAACAGTCATCAAATGCCCAGGCCCTCAATCCAGCCAATTGCAAGGACTGTATCCTGCCCACATGAGCTTGAAAGCATATCCTCCCCAGGGGAACCTCAGATGAGACTGGCCAGTACCTTGACTGTAGCCTTCTAAGACCTCAAAGCAGGAAACCCAGCTAAGCCATGTGCAGACTCCTTACCCTCAGCAACTGTGTGATAATAACTGTGCATTAGGCTGCTAAGTTTATGGTAATATTATGCAGCAATAAGTAATTAATACAAGAGATGAGCAAAAACAGAGAGACCAAAGATCAAGCAACTGTGTTAACCTAGGCAAGCAATGAGGGGGGCTTGGACCAGGGGTGTAGGGGTTGGGGGAGATATGAGGGTGAATGAAGGGATCCAAGTCTGACAGAAGTGCGGCTGGGTCTCTTGTGGAGTTAGCTTAGACTTACTTGTGATGTCTCTCCCTGTGCCAAGCGATGTGCTAGGCACTTCACAAAAATGATTTCATTCAACTGCCATTCTTGACCTTGAGGTGGGTTATATCTGTTTCATGTACAAAAGAAGTTCAGCTAAAGAACTTGGCCAGAGTCACTCATCTAGTAAGTGGCAGGCCCAGATTCTGGGGACCCCAAGTTTAACCACAATGCTGTGTTCCTCCTGGGGAGACCCTGAAAGGTGGAGCGTGTAGGAGGCATTCCCTATACCCACGCCCTGCCCTGCAGCCAGGAAAAACAAGCCAGTCCTGGCATCCACGGCTCCTGCCTCCTCCTTCTCTGAAGAAAATGTTGTTCATCTCCTCTGCAGCTCTTTTGGTTCAGGGGGAGGAGAGAGGCCCCTCGCTGTCCCACCTCTGCTTTAGTTTCACCCTCTGGTCCCTGATGCCTGGGCATCCGCTTCAGACAGCTCGAGGCTCATTTTCTCCTTGGTCCACTGTTACATGCTCTCTCTTTTTTTTTAACTTGCTAAGAAATGTTTACAAAATGCAATAATGATATTAACTTGACTAAATGCTAAACATATTAGAAAACTAAATAGTTTTCCAACAGAAGTTATGACCAGTAAATTTGTAACAATTATTATTTGCTTTTTCTGTGCAAGCAAAGGCTAGGTCAATAATAGACTTTACCATAAGTAGTATAATCAAAGTGTCTGTCTGTCTATCAATGGATCCTAAATGGTAAAATATACCCCCCAAATGAATTATAGATGTGATTTGTGAAAACCCAGAAGCAAACATTTTTCTTCTGTATTTGTTGAAGTGTTTTTCTTTACATAAACAAAAACATCTGATAGATTAAAAGGCACTGATGTAAAAATAAATATCCTTTCCATATTAAAAGCATTAAAATAGTTGGGCATGGTGGCTCACACCTGTAATCCCAGCAGTGTGGGAGGCTGAGGAGGGAGAATTGCTTGAGCTCAGGAGTTCGAGACTTGCCTGAGCGAGAGTAAGACCCTGACTCATGAAAAAAATGGAAAAGGCCAGCTGGGCACCTGTAATCCCAGCAGCTTCCAGAGGCTGAGGCAGCAGGCTGCCCACAGCTCAAGTCTGAGGTTGCAGTGAGCTATGACACCACTGCACGCTGCTCAGGGCATAGGGTGAGACTCTGTCTCAACAACAAAAAGTAAATAAGTAAAATATAAAAGCATCAAAATAATGACAGTGTGATTTGATATTTATTTTTTATTTTTTTGTGACAGAGCCTCAAGCTATTGCCCTAGGTAGAGTGCGTGGCATCACAGCTCACAACAACCTCCAACTCTTGGGCTCAAGTGATCTTTCTGCCTCAGTTTTTCTATTTTCAGTAGAGACAAGGTCTTGCTTTTTTTGTTTTGCCAGGCTGGTCTTGAGCTCGTGAGCTCAAGCAATCCATCCACCTTGGCCTCCCAGAGGACTAAGCTTACAGGCATGAGCCACCATGCCCGGCCTGATTTGATATTTTTTATAAAGCTAACATTTTTGAGAAGAAATATATATTCTTATGTATTTATCACAGAGGTTAAATTTGCATTAAGATGCTTGGAAAATAATTTGGCAAAATATACCAAAAGCCTTAAAATATACATAATTTGTAAGTAGATAATTGTACTGTTGGAAATTGACAGAGAACATGCCATATACTCATGGAAAGGGAAGTGGGTCTGGGGATGAGAGAAGGCTAGTATCTAAATCCACATTATGAAGTAAAATTTTTTCTTTTTATTGAGACAAGAGTTATCACTGGGTTGCCCAGGCTAGAGTGCTATGGCATCAGCTTAGCTCACAGCAACCTGTTCACATGATCAAACTCCTCTGTTCACATGATCCTCCTGCCTCAGCCTCCCAAATAGCTGGGACTATAGGTTCCCATCAAAATGCCCAGCTAATTTTTTCTATTTTTAGTAGAGATGGGGTATCCCTCTTGCTCAGGCTGGTCTTGAACTCTCGAACTCAAGGGATCCTCCTGCCTTAGTCTCCCAGGGTGCTAGGATTACAGGCATGAGCCACTGTACCTGGTGGAAATTTTTTCTTAGATACCTGTCCTCCTTCAGAATTAACAAGTCCCATTATTGTGTGTGTGTGTGTTTTTTTAATATAGTCACATTAGGTTTTATGAGTAAAACAAGTTAAAATATGCTTATGCTCTTAAACACATCCGTGCCTTCTAAACTGTTCAGCTCCTATACCTCCTTCAAGATCCTGCTCGGATGGCCCTGCTGTGAGCCCTGCCTCTTTTTCCCTAGAGAGAGTTATCCCTTCTCTCTACTTATTCTTTTGTATTCCTATGAACCTCCATTTGAGCCTTCTGTGCCTGGCACACACTGAGCAAATAAATGTTCAGTGCTTAGTAGAAATTTTTGAGTGGCTGAATGAAGATCCCTTCTGCCTCCTCAGGCCTGGCCTTCTCTTGGCCTCCCTTCCCCAAGAGGGCGCCTATCAGCCCTCTGAGGTAACAGAGCCCTGTGTATAGTGATCGCCATGGCAACTCCAATGAACATCAGTGGGAGGGCTGCATCCTAGCAACCACCCACGGTCTTCAGTCTTCATGGTCTTTTCTGCACAAATCCGCACTCCTGGGCTTCAGCATACACCAGCGTGGTTCCCATGTTTTCTGACGTTATGAAAGAGATTGGACAGGTGAGGCAGACTTATGAGGTGGGCCAGAGTTCTTCCAGAACATGGAATTTCATCATTCTTTTCCCCATTCAGAGTTGCTTGTGAGTGAAGAGTGCCCAGACTGCAACTGGACCTACCTTCTTGTCCTCCTCAACCGACATTCCTTGGGACATTTCTCTCCAGGTTAGAAACTGGAAGTGAGTTCACACTGCTGTTTAGGCTGGTCTGGGCTGCTCTGGACTGGCAGTGCCATTGGGGCCAACAGGTGACTCCTGTGGGCACATCAAGTGTGTGGCTGGGGAGGGGCACAGGGGCAGGAGAAGATGGCTAACTTGAAGGAGCTTCAGTGAACTTGAAGATATGTGGCTTAGTTTTAGCTCCACCTGGGTGAAGTCCCATTTCTTTTCTGAGCCCAATTTTCTCCATCTGTGAAAGAGGGTAAACTAATAGTTTCTCCAAACACCTTCCTAGGCCCTTGTGAAGACAGACTATACAATCTACTAGATGTGAGAACGCTTGACATAGGAGTTTGTATTAGTGATCTATTGCTGCATAACAAATCACCCCAAAACTTAGTGGCTTAAGACGATAACCTTTATTATTGCACATTTTCTGCAAGGGAGGAAAATAGCTATCGCTTTGGTGGGTTTTCTGTCTCAGAGTCTCACAGACTTCAATCAAAATGTTGACCCAGACTTCAGTCTCATCCCAAGGTTCTTTCCAAGGCCACCCATGTGGCAGGAGTCTGTTCTTCCTAAGCTGTTGGCCACAGGCCACTCTTAGTTACTTGCCATGTGGGCCTCTCCATAGGGCAGCTCATGACATGTAAACTGGCATCAGAGAAAATAAACTAAGGAGAGCCAGAGAGTGCATGAACAAGATAGAAGTCACAGCCCTTTATAACTTCCTCTTGAAAGCAACATCCCTCCCATTTGCCATATTCTATTGGTCACTAGATCCAGCTCACACTCAAGGCAAGGGAAGCAGGGATCACAGAGAGCTATGTCAATGGCCCACTCTGTCTGCCCTCTGGTCCCCCGTGATATGAATCCTTTGCACTGGCAAAACACACTGGTTTCTTTCCAAGATCTCCAAAGTCTTATCCCGTAACAGCATCAGCTTAAAACCTAGAGTCTCATCCTGCATGTCAGGTCCAGGTGGGCATGAGGCTCCTCAGGTGGTGTTCCTTGAGCAGCACTTCTGTCCCTTAAGAGCTTTTGGGCAGAGGCCACCCTGACTTCCTTACCACATGGGCCTCTCTCCACAGAGTGGTCAGAGTGAGCAAACCAAGGAAAGCAGAGAAGGTGAATAAGACAAAAGTCACTAATATAATCCTGGAAGTGACATCCCACCATTTTTGTCACATCCTTTTATTCAGAAGCAAGTCACTAGATCCCTAACTCATACTTGGGGAGGGGATTACACAAGGTGTGAGTACCAGGGATCATCAGAACTCATACCAAAAGTTGCATAATCATCAGACATCTATTAAGTGTCAAAATCAATAGGATGCTTTGCTCGGGAATTTTTTAAGAGAATAGGCTCGGCACCTATAGCTCAACCGGCTAAGGCGCCAGCCACGTACACCTAAGGTGGCGGGTTCGAATCCCCAGCCTGGACCCGCCAAACAACAATGACGCATGCAACCAAAAAATAGCCGGGCGTTGTGGCGGGCGCCTGTGGTCCCAGCTACTTGGGAGGTGGAGGCAGGAGACTCGCTTGAGCCTAGGAGTTGGAGGTTGCTGTGAGCTGTAATGCCACGGCACTCTACCCAGGGGGACAGCTTGAGGCTCTGTCTCAAAAAAAAAAAAAAAAGAGAATAAAATCGATCAGGTTCCTCCCTGCTTTGAGCTTCCCAAGAAACTGACTTGCTGGGTAACATCAGACAAATCACTCTCCCTCTCTGGGCCTCACTCCTCAAAGGTCCCTGCCAGCTCTGACTTGCTTCTGTTCCTCCCTTGTGATCCATACAAAGACACTGACTTTGGAGGGTGTGGTTTTATTTTATTTGCAGTGTGAAATTCACAAAAACCTGGGGAAAACCGACAGGGGATAAAATAAGAGAATATGTTGATAAATAAGGGAAGGATCATGGAGGGAAAAGGACACAAACGGGAAAGCTGTGGAGCCTTTGGAGATGCCAGAGCTGCCCTCCACTTTGGCCCAAAGGCCTTTTCTCAGAGAGAAGACAGTGTGGGGTCCTGCTCTCGACCCTCCAGGGTGGCTAAGGGTCTTCCCTCCTCTGACTGCGAACAACGAGCCAGCGTGGTGGAGAAATTGTATTTGCAGAAAAGCAAGTAGTTGCCAGGATGTGGGGGCAGGAACAAAGCACCCCCCAGCCGTGGGCCTGCTGGGGGCTCCTAGGTGGTGCTGGTACAGGAGAGGAGGAGAAAGAGGTGACAAGGTGTAAGAAGAGCCCAGGGTCCCAAAGCTGCTTGAGAAAGGCCTTTGAGCCACCTATCGTGGGGGTGACCAGGGCTTTCCAGAGAGGGCAAAGCCTTCAGGGGTAGTGGGTGGGTGAGGCAGGGGCTCTTTGGGTCTGCACAGAGCCAGAAAGCTCTAAGAGTAGTACCCTGGGGACCCCTGGACAGATGGCCACAGGCCTCCCTGTTCAGCTCCCAGCTCATTCTCATTCACAGAGATCATGTGTCACCTGAGACAGTGAAACATGCTGCTTTGTCTACAGGGCCCAGCTTGGAATTACCTGTCCCAGAGCAAGAGTTGATGGAGCTGGGCCACCGAGCAGGTAGGATGGGCTGGCCAGGGACACGCTGAGGGTACATCCAGGGCTTCTGGAGGGACTCCTCGGGGCAGCAGAGCACAGGGCCTTCCTCCTCTCCCTCAGTTTCACCTCGGCCTCAGACACACTGCTGACCCTGACTTCTTAGGGGGACATTCTGTTTGAGGACAGAAAAGAAAAGGAGGGAAAGGAGTTCCTGAGTCCTTCCCATCCTGCCATGCATGGTGGGGATTAGGACCCCAACACGGTCCCCATCCTCAGCTGCTCTGAGACTGGGCACCAGAAGGGCAGAGCTGGGGGAGAACAGCAAGGAGCCTGGCTGCCTGGGTGGGGGTCATCGTGGTCAAGAGTGAGCCAAGACCAGGAAGGGGTGTGGCTCTAAGAGGGGAGGAGAGAGTGTTCCAGAAAGGAAGAGACCTGGAAGGGGGAGTGGGCTGGTGCTTTTGTGGGGCCTTAAGGACAAGAGGAAGGATTTCAATGCAGGAGTGACTGACTGGGTCAGGTCAGCTCAGAGGAGGGTCCCCAGGGGCTGACAGGTGGGATGAGGATGATGACAGTCCTGCTCAGAGCTTTCTGCAATGACCTGAATGCTCTGGGGACCTTGTGAAATGCTCAGACTCCCAGTCTTTTCTGATGCAGGAGCTCTGGGAGGGGCTCAGGAATCTGTATTTTTAATGGGTGCTAGGGAATTCTGATACCTGGCCAAGTTTAGAAACCGTTGACTGATCCCCTGATCCTGGTAACAGCAAGTGAGGCAGGATTTATGCCTCCCACTTTCCAGCTGACTGAATGGAATGGAGGAAGGGTGGAGTTGCAGTAACAACCAAAAACCTTTGTTCATTCATCAATTCATTCATTCAACATTCAACTCCAGTAGAACAGGAGTTGGCCTATTCATCTCCCTGTTGGGTCCCCATGGCCTGGCACAGCACCTGACACACAGTTGGTGCTTGCTCAGTCAATAAATTGGTCAATATACTGGCCCTCTGAGCCAGAGGACACATCTTGGCCATAAAAGTGCTCATAACCCCAAAGGGCTGGCCGGGGGTGGGCAGCAATTGCAACCACAGCAGAGCACAGCCAGGGAAGACACAGGCAGTGCTGCTCCAGCTGTCCTGAGCCAGAATCCTGGGGGACTCCAGGAAAAGCCACCCCTGTGCTGGGCCTCAGTCTTCCCAGGAGTAGGGTGAGGGGCTATGGGTGGTCAGGTGAGTATCATCCCTGCTGTCTGCCTCCAGTCTTTGAGAAGGGTCACCATGCCCATCCTGACAGCCCAGCTGTCCCCAGAGGTACCCCTCTACCTGGCTGCCTGAGAGTTGAGGCAGAACCAGGCCAGAGGGAGGGAAGACAGTCTAGTTTTTTTCTCCACCTTTTGTGTAGGTGACAAAGGGGCAGGAAAAGGAGGTGGAGATGAGGAAGTGGCAGGAGAGCAGGAAAACCTCAGCCTTCCCTGTCTCCTACCAGCCGGGAGAAGGGTCTACAGTCCCCCATGGGGTGGGTGAGAGGGGCTGCCCAGAGCACCATCACTTGGTGACCACACAGCAGGGTCCAGTAGGAGTCAAATAAAAACCCAGTGGCCGGTAAGCCCTGATGCTTACTGCATCCTTCCCTGAAAAACTAAACTGGAACGATGTGGATGTCCAGCAGAGGGGCAGCCGCTAAATCCTGCAGGGCCTGAAAGGAAAGTTGGGTCAATATCCTCTGCCTTGTATAAATCTCCAGGCCTGATTGGTGGTTTTTAACAGCAAGTTACAAAGCAACACATAGCCTCTAATCTCACTTATAAACAAAGTAGAAACAAAACTATGTATCTCTTATGAGGACTACAGGACCCAGCTAGAACTCACCAAACACATTCATAGCTGTAACCTGGAATTGAGTTTCAGTGCAGGTTGTGAGAGACCCTTGGCTTGACCTCTATACCCTGCACAGAAAAAAAGAATCTATATACCACTTGGGTGATGTATGAAATGTGAGTGCTAAGCTGCCAGCCACCTGGATATAAAATGCACTGTTACTTAGGAGTCACTAAGAAACAGAACACAGTGCTGGCTTAGACCAGGAGCCACGGCCATTGTCAGCTACAGCCTGGCGTCAGAAGTGTTCAAATGGGGGGGGGGGGGAAGGAGCAGCTTAGCATCAATGAGATGCACTGTCATGGGGTGTGACTCCCCTTTACCCCTGCTCACACACTCATGCATTGATGGACTCTGCCACCTTCCCTAGATGAACAGGGCTCTCTGGTGGCTGCTGTGTCATGCCCGGGACTGATACACACATGGACCCTGCCTCAATGACCTTCTCCCCCACCGAGGAGGGGAGATGTGACTGTAGCTTACAGCATGACAGAATGGGAAAGCTCAGGGTGATGAGAGCTATGTGTGGCTATGTGTGGCTTGCTGGGCACAATGCTGGGGGTTGAGAAGGAGGGAGCTGACTGAGCTCCAGCTTGGGGTGGGTGCAGGAAGAACTTCTTAGTGGGCTCTATTGGAAGGAAGAAGGGTAGGATTTTGGATTTTGACCTAGGGAAAAGGAGGGCTGGCCTTCCAGCTAGCAGACCAGCCTGGGCAAACCCTAGGCAGAGGGATTTCGCAGGGCATGGGTAGGAGGGAGTGGCATTCTGCCTGTCTGGAGCCAAGGAGAAGTCATGAGAATGAGAAGGAGAGAGGACAGGCTGAGAGCAGGAGGCCCATGGGGCCTGAGGATGGGGTGGGGACGAGAGAGCCTGGGAGGTCGCTGGGGCTCCATCAGCCCTGGAGGGCTTTCCAGGCATGTGACTTGGCCAACCCAAAGAAGGCCTCTGCCAGCCTCCATAGCTGCTGATTGCTGTGGGGTTTCAAGTTGGGGAAAGGAACTTTGCAGATGTGGAGCCAGAAGCACTAAAGCACAGAGAAGCCAAAGCCCTTGCTCAGGGTCACACAGCTAAGCCTTAAGGCTGGGCAGCCTTGGGCTGCTCAAAAGCAATGTGGAAGAACCTTGACCGGGGGAGGCTCTGCAGGCTGAACCTTCTCCTCCCCTTGTGTGTCTCCTACGTCTCACCCATGCCTCTGGCTGCTGAGATCCCTCTCTGTTCCTCTCTTCCTGTTTTGGGGGTCTCTGGGGCTCTGTGTCTCCATCCCTCTTCTCTCCCTCCCACCTTCTGCATTTGTCTGTGCCTCTCCTGACCTCTGCCTCACTTTGTCCCATTCAGGTACAAACCCTCTGACCGGGGCCCCCCTGAAAAACAAGGAGGGCCAGCAGGACACAGACCCCTGGAAGACTGCCCACAGCTCCTTGGATGCCTCCAAGTTCAAGCACCAGGTCCCGCTCTCCTCACAGAAGTCCCCACCCCGGGGAAGCAGCAGCCAAGGCAGCTCCCTGGGGCAGAGTCACTCGGAGAGGATCCACACCCCACCCCCAAGCGTTGTCAGCACGGATTCTCTGGGGAAGGACCCACAGCCAGGGCCCCTGCAGAAGGGGAGCTCCAGATCCTCCATGAGAGAGAATAGGACCACCTTCCAAGGGGGGGCTCAGCCATGCCAGGGGTCAGATAAAGGCCCCGATGTGGGAGCCCAGGACCAGAGGAGCATGCCTGCGAGCCAAAAAGACACTATCATTCCCAACAATATTCGTCACAAGTTTGGGAGCAACGTGGTGGACCAGCTGGTTTCCGAGGAGCAGGTAGGTTTAAAAACAGGGCCCAGGAGGCTAAGGGCGACAGAAAGGCTGTGCACAGAGACTGGCAATGGGGCCACAAAAGAAACCTGTTCTTGAATATGGGGACCTTGTGATAATATCACAAGAAGGCAGGATTTACTGAACACTTGCTATGTGAAGATGTGAATTCATCTTCCCAGCAGCCCCACGGAAGATGCTATAAAATTATCATCCCATTTTATGGAGAAGGAGCCCACAGCTTAGAGGGGTTAAGTAAGTTAAGCAAATTCACCCAGCTATGTGGGATAAAGATACAAACTGGGTTGGCAGATTTTGGAGTCCTGGCCCTTCACGAATTTGCAGTTAAAAGTCTTTTGTTTGAAGGCCAGGCACAGTTGCTCATGCGTATAATCCTAGCACTCCGGAGGCCCGAGATGGGTGAATCGCCTGTGCTCACAGGTTTGAGACCAGACTGAGCAAAAGCGAGACTCCATCTCTAAAAATAGCAGGGCCTTGTGGTGGGTGTCTGTAGTCCCAGCTACTCCAGAGGCTGAGATGAGGTTGCTGTGAGCTATGATGCCACTGGCACACTACCGAGGGTGACAAAATGAGACTCTGTCTCAAAAAAAAAATGTCTTTTGTTTGAATTGAATGCTTTCCATTTGAATGAGTCTCCTGAGGGGCGATAGCAGCAAGTGGATGGGAGGCATTTACTGGGAATCAGAAGACCTGGCTTTGAATCCTGACCCTTCCCCTGAGTGCTGAGTGACTTTAGAAAAGTTACTTCCCTCTCTGGGCCTCAGTCTCTACATCTGTAAAGTGAGGCAGCTGGACTAGATGAGGCTGACAAATATGTGGTGTGCATCCACGCCTCTCCTAACCTGCACTCACGGCCCACAGCACCAATCAATGCTGGCTCTCTTTCCCAGCTGATATTCCAGGCTAGGCAGTCACTACTGATAAACAGAAATTGGAGATAAAATTCACCTGCCATTTCTAGTCAAATGCTAAGTGTCTTTCTTGCCATGACATTCTGAGACATATTTTCAAAGCCACCATCTCAATCCTCTTAGCAACTACGTTGTGTGGTACTTATCACATCCTCTTTAATAGATGGTAAAACCAAGACCCCTTGTATGATCTGCTGGGGGTCACACTGATTAAAGTGGAAGATTCAGGATCACAAGTCTGTGGGTCAGGTATCTCTCCTACTTCGCCGCCTTAGAGTGCGGTGACACCCCCCACCACCAAGTCTGGGAGGTCACAGCCTGAAATGTTCTGCCCCACTAGGAGGAGGTTGTCCCATTTTGAGGTTGACCATATGGTTACTACCTCTCACTGCCCCTCTAGGCCTTGGGACGATGTCATTTCTCTCTTCAGCCACCAATGCCCTGAGCATGAATCAAGAGATCTGGTTTTTCTGCCCAAGTGTGATACAGGTCACAGGTCATCAGGCCAGCAAGTGTCAGAGCTGAAAGCTACTTCAAAGGCCACCCAGTTCTGCCTTCCACCCCCATTTTATAAGTAGGGAAACTGAGGCAGACCCATAGAGGAGCAGAAGATTAAAGTCAGCAGCTGGCATATGGCAGAATTGGAACTCAAACCCAGGTGTCCTGTCCAGTTAAGCCTGGGCTCAACTTCTCTGGGCCTCAGTTTCCCCAGTGGTACAAAGAAAGAGTCGGCCTCAATGAAAGCTAAGCAGAGCTGGCGTGTGTGAAGCCAGTTGTAGGAGGCTAGCCTGGGCTCTGTGACTCAGCAGCTGGGTGAACCTGGCAAATCTTTGGCCTCCTGAGGCCCAGGTTCCTCATTTATAAAATGGCAAGAATAGTGTCACCCTACAAAGATATTCTGTGCATAGCAGGTACTCCATGCTGGGAGGAGGTTTTATAAGCATTATTATCCCTCATGCCCCTGACCCATTGTGGGAAGTGGGGGGATGGGAGGAGACAGAGGGGGTACCTTTTGCTACTCTGGGTCCCCAGCTCTGCTTTGGTTGAAGGCTGTGGGCTGAAGTGGAGTAGGAGGTGGGGAGGGCAGGGTCTGGGGCAGGAGGAGTTAGTGGGGAGATACGGGGCTGGGGCCTGCTTTCCCATCCCTGTCTCTTCTCCCTGTCTCCCCCCTCAGGCTCGAAACATTGTCGGTGACGTCCTTGAGGGACAGAAGTCTTCAAGGGCAAGCTCATGGCCCAGCAGGACCCAGAGTCCTGCAGAAATCTCCTCCTTCTTCTCAGACTACTATGATCTGGGCTACAACATGCGGTCAAACTTGTTTCAAGGTCAGGTCGAAGGGCAAGTGTAGTGTCTGTGAACACCCATGGTCTAAGGCAGGGAAGGCCTTTGGGGTGTCTACCCATATGGGGTCCAGGACCCCAAGGCACATCCCCATGAACCTTATTTTATGCCTACCGTAGGCTTCCTATCTGCAGGGCCTTGCTGAGTGAGTTCTGGGACCATCCAGCCTGCTGGCAAGTCTGTGCTTCCCACGGCCTCCCTCACACCCACCAGACACCTCTGCCAGGGTGTTTCTTAATCTGCCAGTGAGAGGCCCAGGCACCTTTGGTCACAGTGACAGTATCAGGTTTCTTGAGTTCAAAGCTCAGCTCAGCCACTCATTAGCTGGGTGTGACCTCAGGTGAGATCATTAACTCTCTGAGCCCCAGCTGCCTTCTCAGTACAAGGCACCACGGGACCATAATGACAGTGTGGCTCTCCCTGGGCCGTTGGCAGGACCCTATGAATTCCCGCCTATGGTACTCAGACTATGGTGCATTGCGAGTGCTCAGTAGCTGTCGGCCATCATTTTTCTTTCCCAGAGCCTGGTAGTGGCACACCTGGGAAGGAAGGAGGTGTGGTGTTTACAGGGGGTTCATTTGGGTCAGCATAGTCTGTCTGGTGGGGGGGAGGAAGGGGTTGCTGTTAGCTGCATTTCACAGGCAGATCTGAGATCATTGGCCCAAGACCTCTTAGTAGTGCAAGGTATGTCTGGGACTCAAATCCAGGTTTTCTTTCTGCCTCTAAAGCCCCAAAGTCTTTCCTCCATACTAGGTCACCTCCCTAGCTCTGGCGCATTCCCAAGGGTTTTCTGGATGCTCAGATATGGTCCTCAGTCAGCACGCAGGGGCTTCTCTCTGTCACCACATTCTAGTTCAGCCTCGCTGCAAAAGGCTCACTCTTTCTAGCCCTGCTCCTTCCTCTCCTCTCACTCTCAGGCTGGGAAAACCTCCTCCACTGGCTCAGGTCCCTGTCACCCGAGCAACTAGACACCCACGGGAAGCCTTTCTGGGCTTTTCTTTGAGCTTGGAGAAGGGGTGGTGCTGGGGAGAGAAGCGAGAATACAGCTCAGAATGTCCCCTGCTCAGGATTCCTGGATCCTACCTTTCACATCTCTCTTTAACAATTATCACCACACAGCTCTTACATACAACCTTTATGATAATGTCTATATAAATGCAAAAGAATAACATTTTAAAAATATCTGTGTGCCCAGAACTGTGCCAAGGGTGTGCTGGGGTCAGCTCATACCAGCTTGCACCAGCTCACAAGAGGCAATTATTGATTTTCCTGAATGTTTGGCCCATAAATGCTATCTTTTTTTTTTTTTTTTTGAGACAGAGCCTCAAGCCCTGGGTAGAGTGCTGTGGCATCACAGCTCACAGCAACCTCCAACTCCTGGGCTTAAGCAATTCCCTTGCCTCAGCCTCCCAAGTAGCTGGGACTACAACACCTGGCTATTTTTTGGTTGCAGCCATCATTGTTGTTTGGCGGGCCAGGCTGGATTTGAACTCGCCACTCAGGTGTATGTGGCTGGCACCTTTGTCGCTTGAGCCACAAGAGCTGAGCCCATAAATGCTGTCTTAAAAGTGGTCAGAGCAATAGTGTATATACTCTGGAAATTGGCAAACACTACTGCCCCGTCTGTGCCCCGTCCATGCATCCCTTTCTGTCTCCACCCACCCAGATTTAGCCTTTGCACTTGCTTGTGGATGTGGCAAGGCTGGTGCGGCTGCGTAGGAGTGAGGGAGAAGAAATCAGACAGGAAACAGGCCAGGTCGTGAAGAACACTGGAAGGTCTTTTCTCCGAGTGAGATAGATGGGAAGGCAAGCCAATGTTGTTAGCAGGAGAGTGGTCTTTGGTTTAAGATAAAGGATCACTCCAGTTGTTGTATTGAGATGTCAGGGGTTGGGGCAAAAATAGGAAGACAAGTGAGGATGAAACTGCAAAAATCCAGGTGGAACAGATGACAGTGGCTTGGTTTTGGAAGCTGGGTTAGCCTACTGCACAGGTTGGGGGGCACCATTTGCCATGTGGTAACTCAGGGAAGTCAGGTTGAAAGCGGCCTGATGTAGTAGGATTCTGGGTATTTGTATAAGATAGAGAGAGCAGATAACATGATAGGAAGGAATTAAGGACGATTTCAAGGGTTTGACCTGAACAATTGGAAGGATGGAATTGCTGTTTACTGAGATAGAGAAGGTGCCAGGAGGAGTCGGTTGAAGAAATCCTATCTCATGCTGAGTCATGGCAGTAATCTTTTATATAGTCTTGTAAAAGATTTAGTTTTGCCTTTCACACTTAAGTTTTTAATCCATCTGGAGTTGATTTCTGTTGTGTGAAGTAGGGGGTTCATTTTTAATTCCTCCTTTACGTAGATGACTGAATATCTCAGTCCCTTTTGTTGAACAGTCCCATCTTACCCCCAGTGACCTGCGGCGGCACCTCTGTTACCCATCAACTTTCCCCAAGTGTGTAGATCAGTTTCCAGAATCTCTATTCTGTTCATTGGTCTAAGATTACCCTTTTAATTACCAACGTATTATAAGTAGTTTGATATCTAGCCAGGCAGTACTCCCGCCTCACACCACACACACCAGTTAATGTCTTGGGTTTCTAAGGCTTTACTTGTCCACATAAATTTTACATGGAAATTTCCATGACAAACCCTGTTGGGATTTTGAGTCAAAGTTTACTGAATCTACAGCTCTACTTAGGGGCAGTTATCAGTTTTATTATAATGAATTTTCCAATCTATAAATAGGGTATATGGCTCAATTGATTTACATCTTTCTTCAATACCTGCCAAAGACATTTCGTATTTTTTTCTGTATAGATCATGCCATTTTTGTTAGATTTATTTAGCAGAGACACTTTATTGTTTTTGCTGCTGATTATAAATGGTATCTTCTAAAAAAAATTATATTTTCTAACTTTGATGCTGATACTGCATGCACAGATCCAATTTTTATTTTTGTATATTTATCTTATATCCAGAAACTGCTCAGTTCACCTATTAATTCCAATAATTGTTTGTAGCTTCTTTGGGGCTTATTTAGAATAATAATGGCTATATTTATATATAGTATGTATAATGTGCTGAGCACATGCTTGTTTGTTGTTTTGTTTTGTTTTGTTTTGTTTTTGCAGTTTTTTGCTGGGGAGGGGTTTGAACCCGCCACCTCCGGCATATGGGTCCGGTGCCCTACTCCTTTGAGCCACAGGCGCCGCCCTGAGCACATGCTATGTGCTATACTTACATGTACTTTACATGTATTTCAATTTTCACAACAGCCATATATGGTAAGTGGTATAATCCGCCCGTTTTTTTCAGATAGAAAGTTCTGAGTCATGGAAAGGTTAAATAACTTATGTAAGGCCACACAGGTAGTAATACTCAGAGTTGGGATTTAAACCCTGCCAGCCAAAGATCAAGTTCACCCGCTTAAACATCAGGCTTTTCCCACTTTCCCATCAGTGTCTGGCTGATAATATTGTCCATAAATGATGGATCTGATTTACTCTGAAACCCTCCCACTCCCCTTTCCCTTCCACTACCCACCATCTATAGAGGAAATTGACACCCCATATAAACCATGGAGGACCTGACCTCTGTTGACTTGTGCACTTGGGGATTCTTCACGGTGTTCCACAGGGGCCCCCGAGGAGACAAAAAGCCTCATGAAGTCTTCATATACACCAGAAGTGATTGAGAAATCAGTGAGGGACATAGAACACTGGCATGGCAGGAAGACGGATGATTTGGGTGAGTGGCAGCTGGGGGTGTTGGGAGGTGGGCACTCTCTTCCATGGGCAGGGTGCATTGGCTCTAAGATCAAGAGGGAAACCAGAGCAGGACACAGAGCCTGGGGTGGACTTGGAAGAGGTGTGGGCCACCAATAAGGCTTGGGCACTCTGGAGTGGGTGATCTCTGGTGGTTTTTCTCCTGCTCTCTGTAGGACGGTGGCACCAGAAAAATGCCATGAACATGAACTTGCAGAAAGCACTGGAAGAGAGACTTGGAGAGAAGAACAAATCCAAAAATTCAAAATACTAGATACAGCACAGAAGAGGTGCCCTCCATTCAAATAAAGTGCTAACAATAAAGAAAGAGACAAACCCAAGCCATTCTCTTCTGTTTGATGCCTTTCTTTACGTTGGGTGGGGGACTAATGTGTAGTGTTAGAGAGACCAGTTGAGGGACAATGGAAGCCCTGAAGGCCCAAACTATCTACCAGACCTTCCTCCTACATACACACATATACACATGCCTTCACACCTTCCCCCACTATCCCAGGAAGGGATACTTTGTCTCAAGCCCAGTGCACCTGGCTTCTCCCTAATGTCCTGTGTGGAGGGGCCTATAGCAGACACTGTTGGATCTTACCCTGCATACTTTCCCTAGCCAACTCCAATTATTTCCAGGCATCCATTCCTCCCTCCATATATAAGCCCATGGACTTCAGAGGAATTGGCCACACACATTCTGTCCAATCTAGTGGTGAATTTGATTGGTCATATATATTTGAGACTGGGTCTCACTCTACTGCCCTAGGTACAGTGCCATGGCATCATATCTCACAAGGTCAGACTCCTAGTTTCAAGTGATCCTCCTGCCTTAGCCTCCCCAGTACTGGGACTACAGGTACTCACCACCACACCCACTTAATTTTTGTATTTTTTGTAGAGACAAAGGTCTGTCTTGTCCACTCACAGCAGCCTCCCACCAGGCTGGGATTTTATGGGCATGAGCCGCCTTCTGGCCTCCTGCAGAAATTCTTAGCCCCCACCCCCTACACAATGCGATTGGTTTAGGAAGGGGCATGTGACTCAGTTTGGGCCAATGATGTGTAAGGAAAACTGTGGGTGTGTCTTGTCTCTGCAGGAACACTGGGAGAGCATCCCTCTCCCTTGATGTGTAGAATGAGGAACCCTGCAGCCCAGACTGCTCCTGGCAGATACCTGTGACCATAGGAACTCCCGGGCATGCAGCACAGTCAGGGGCATCTGTGACCTCACTGGGCTACTACACCAACTTGGCCAGAAGCCACCCACCTCTGGACTTCCTGTGATGTGAGCCTGAGCATATTCTCACTGCTTAGCAGACAAACATCCTTAGCCCATCAGGTCCCTGGTGACAGCAGGGGAGGGACCTGGGAATTGGAGCCACAGGGAAGAGTCCCCCAGGGAATGGGTTTCAGGTCAGACCATTATGTCTACCAGTTGATCCTGAAGCTTTTCACCTGGTTGTTCTCTAAGCCAGCAGTACATCCACCCCCAGATCACTGGCTAGCACTCTCAGAACATTCTCTTCTCATGGATTCTTATTGTGTTCCAAACCACACCAAAATCGATAGGCTTAAAATGACACTTATTTGCTGGTGAGTGTGCTGTTGGACAGAGCCCAGGTATGGCTCATTTCTGCTCCACCAGGCACTGCTGTGAAGATGGCTGCTTCTCTCATATGCCTGGTGCCTCAGCTGAGGTGATTACCAGAGCTGGGAGCTGGCTGGGTACTGCTCTTTCTCCCTGGGGCTCCTCCTTATGGACAACTTGGGTTTCCTCTGGTATGGTGACTGGGTTCCAAAAAAGAGCCTACTGAGGGGACAAGATTCAACGTGCAAGGGTTTGTCAAACCTTGCACTGGTCTGGGCTCAATGGTTCATGCTTGTAATCCTAGCACTCTGAGAGGTTGAGGCAGGTGGATCGTTTAAGCCCAGAAGTTCAAGACCAGCATGAGCAAGAGCAAGACCCCATTGTTACTAAAAATAGAAAAAATAGCCAGGCACTGTAGCACAGGCCTATAGTCCCAGTTCCTCAGGAGGCTGAGGCAAGAGGATTGCTCAAGCCCAAAAGTTTGAGGTTTCTGTGAGCTATGATGGCACAGCACTCTAGCCTGGGCAACAGAGTGAGACTCTGTCCAAAAAAAAAGAAAGAAAGAAAGAAAGAAAGAAAGAAAGAAAGAAAGAAAGAAAAATGAAATAAAATAAAAAACTGGCTCAGGCTCGGCACCTGTGGCTCAAGCAGCTAAGGCGCCAGCCACATACACCTAAGGTGGCGGGTTCGAATCCCCAGCCCGGGCCCGCCGAACAACAATGATGGCTGCAACCAAAAAATGGCCGGGCGCTGTGGCGGGTGCCTGTAGTCCCAGCTACTTGGGAGGCTGAGGCAGGAGACTCGCTTGAGCCCAGGAGTTGGAGGTTGCTGTGAGCGTGATGCCATGGCACTCTACCCAGGGGGATAGCTTGAGGCTCCATCTCAAAAAAAAAAAAAACTGGCTCACTAATGTCTCTGTGGCCAAGCCCAGGTTTTGTGAGTGAAGACTACATAGAAGCATTACTATATACAGGAGTGGCTCCTTGGAGAGATCATCTGGCTTTGGAAAGATTGAAAACAAAAAGAAGAATCAAAATCACTGGCAAGAGAAGGGGAAAACAGGCCCCCACTTCTCCCCCAACTTCCTTCCTTCTCTCATAAAAGGGAATGATTTCTTTAGGATAGGGTTGGCTCAGCATGTAATACAGGGAAGTGAATTTGACTTGATTTAGTGCTTATTGAGGCTGAACTGTGTGCAAAGTGGTGGGTTAAGCTCAACGTCTTTACTGGGTACCTCATTTCTGCAAGGCATTGAAGAATCAGGCTTTATCTTTATTGAGCAGCTACTCTGTGCCCATCACATGTGGCACCTGTGAAAATGAGCCACGCAAAGTAGACTCTCTACTGTTCTGACATAGAAATGATAATATGACAAGTCCTATGAGGATGTTCTACGTGCTTTACACAAACAACCGTATTCTATCTTTGTGATCCCCTTTATGACTGAAGCTTGGAGAGGCTAGGGAAATTATACAAGGTTTTGCCAGTAGGAAGCTAGGATCCAAACCCAGGAATTTCTGACCAAAGCCACTTTCTTCCTTCTCTACCAGACAATCATACTCAGTGTCAACAAACATAGTGACACCCATTAGGCACTGTGGCGACAGCAATATGGATATAATGCAGCCCTTGCCCTCATGGACTTCATAGTTTGTAGGGGACTGGTGTGGAATAAGCTGGCTTTGAGGCTTAGACCGTGATCTGAACAATAGGTACTCGACATCTACCCCTGCCCAGCCCTATTTGATGAGCAGGGAATGCAAAGATGAATAAGACAGGGTGCCTGTCCTCCAGGAGTTCCGAGTCTGGGTGGAGCTAGAACAGATCCAGCAGTGAATAAATGTTGAGTTTTCTACGTGCAGTGGGAAGTTCATACGGGGGGGAGGGCAGGCAGTGATAGCATGAAGGAGAACGTTGGCTACCGCTACCTGGATTCTGGGATGAGGCTCTGGTCCTGTGGTAGGCTTCATCTAGGAGGTGGCTCATGAGATGAGTCTTGGGGCATGAGCAGGTGTGTTCAGGCGCACTGGGAGCAGTACAGCTTTCCAGACAGAGGATGCGGTATGCACAACCCCCCTGTGTGATATATTTGGGGAGCTTGAGGCAGTTCATTAACATTGGAAGGCAGAGCTCCAAGGAGAGGCACAGAGGGAAGGTAGGAAAGGTAGAGTTTATGTCTGGGATGGGGTTGCACTATGGAGGTCTGACATGCAAGACTCAGCCCTTCCATCTCGGAGCTTACAGCCTGGCTGGAAAATAAAGGGTTAATTATAACTGAAGAAGCCCAGAGGAGTTGAAAAGATGCTCATTATCCTCAACAATCAGAGATGCAAATTAATATAATAAAGTCTTTGGCTTGGCAAAAATTTAAATGCAAGTGTGGGGGAGAAGGAGAGAAGTGGAAACTCTCATATAGTCCATGAATTATGAGCAAAGAACAATAAGGGAGTATTTACTGAAATTGAAATTATATTTCACAAGCTGGAAATTCTATTTCTACATAGCCTAGAATAGAAACACTTAAATGTGCACAACATGATAGTCTTTGCGGTGTTGTTTGTAAATAGTAAAAAACCTAAATGTCTTTCAGCTGGAGAATGGACAGATGCGATCACCTACTGCAGGGGAAAGGCATGACCCACATGTATGTATATCGGCAGGGAAAGATCTCACAACATATCAGGGAGGATGGGAAACAATAATCCGCCCTACAGCAGACAAAACCACCATGTCACTGGTGGATATGTTTATAAGCATATGGAAGGTGGGCTGGAAGCACGCTACAGAAACCCACCCTCACATTGCCTTTAGCTTAGCTCTTTGAAGCAGCGGCTTTATGAGAGAACTACCAAAATACCTTCTGACGAGAGCATCAGCTGCTAGAAAAAGCAGCTGAGTAACGCAGTGTTGGTGAGCTGACTTAGAGTTAAGTGAGCAATTTCCATTTTGACATTAAGTGAATAAATGTAACACATTATATGACTTTGCCTCAATTAAAGATTCCATCTCAGAACATTAAGAGGAACTCTTTTAAATTAAACATTCAATATTTTAGAGAGAAAAGCTGTAATCTTGGCAAAGTAAATAAAACATGAATAGATTTCTTTTTTTTTTTTTAAACTTAAAGAAGGCCTTTATCCTACTGATGCTGTTTCCAACAGCATTCTTATTCCTCATACTCCCGAGGTTCCTAGATGGTGGAATTCACAGTGATTCTTAAGTTTCAAAGAGGTACCGGGACCAGGATTTAAGTGGCTTTAATTCACATAGTGAAAAAAATTATTGATCCTTCAATTCACACAGGGCCTCATTTGCCCATAGTAACTCAGAACCATCTTCACAATTTCTGACACATTCATGTACCACTTCAGGGAACATCAATAAAGCTATTTAGGACACTTTACCCTAGGGCACAGTTGATCAGCCTCTCAGGGCCATAATTCCTTCCCAGCCCTCCCCCTAGTGGCAGTGTCTCCAAATTGCAGGCATAGAGTTTAGGAATCAAAAATCCACAATGTACATACTGAGGACGGAGGGAACCTAGAGAACATTTAGTTGCATCTTTCTAACTATGCTTTCCCTACTCCCCACCCAGCTCCATTTTATAAATGAGGAAAACTAGGCCCAATGGAATAAATACATGTTTATACTGGAAATGAAAAGTCCATGTTGTCTGCTTTA